TAGGATTTCATGTTTATATATGTACATAAAAAACATTTTAATTTTGTTTCATAAATATTTTTTTATTTCAAATTTATTTTTATATTTCATTGCAGTCGTACTTTTTTGTTTATTGTGCCGAATAAACCGTGGGGTCAGCAGCGTGAACTTTGTACGTTGTCCGTAAACTATCTCACCCCTTTTGGTGGTCACTCTCGTTCAACCAAGCGTGAGCGCATGCGCATTTGAACGTTACTGTAGATATAATAGTAAGAAAGCTTTTTGCTACTTGAATATAATTTCTTTGAACTTTCAAACAAGTTTATTTCAACATATGTCCGTGTATGTTGTTTCAGAATAGAGACAAAACTAATTGTCACTACTAACAAATGTATGTCAGGTGGTTTCAATAAACACCGCCTGAGCCTTCCCCCCTGTTACTTGATACATCCTGTTAGAAGAGATTACCAAACGATACAGACACCATAAGTTACAAAAAAAATTACTTTACAGCACTTAAAAGATTAGTCCTGGTCACATTCCTCTCATTACAGGCAAGATTTATGTTGGAATGCCAAACTTAAGCTCTTCAATGTATTGAGACCCCAACTGTGAGAATGTCATAGCTTCCCTGTATTATTGGGATGAATGTATTTAGCCTGTTTCACAACCAACATATGGGTTTTATTGTTGTCACTACTGAGTTTGAACCATTTGCAAAATATCAGAATAAACTATATATATCAGTTAGACTGCTTTAATTCTAACACAATAACAACAGAAGTGTGGGTCTTACTACTGTTATGCCTCCAGTTCTTAGTTATTTAATTTTCCGTAAATTCGTTCCAACGAAACTTTAGCGACACAAGTCCTTTCTTAAATAAAACTGGGTTTATTCTTTCCGAATACAACTTTACCGATACACTTAATTTCAACAGTCGCTCTATAACAAATGCTAGAACGTCTCACGTGCTTGTGCTGACAATACTCAGTTCAATTACACAATCTCTGACTGCAGTTCGATTAGTCATTCACTTGTCACATCACGTTGTGAGCGTCTTATATATACCAGACTACCCCCAATCTAGTAGTCTCCCGATAATTCATGAAGATTCGAGAAGGAGTGGCGTGATACTAGTCACATGACCTCGCTGATGCAACACTACCCCTCCTTAGTATTGTTCGTCCCAAACAATAGCCACTTACATTAAACCAATAACAATACCTTAATTAAATGTACAGAATTACAAACACAAAATTACAATTCAACAAAGTCTTTTAATTTTACGGGATGTATCTTCTTCCGTACTGGTCTCCATCTAGTTGGCTTCTGCTTCACGTGGAGTTCATCTGCTTCATCAGGAAATGTCCTATCGTCGATAACAGTCACATCAGTGGTAGTAACTTCATCAAGAGCTTCACGTTTCCCTTCTCAAAACTGAGTAGAGTTTCTTCTTCGAAGGTGGCTTTTTCAGGTAGCACGTCTTCAGCAGTGTCATTTGTTCCTTTGTTCACTTCATCCCAACTGAAAGGTCCTGGACCGTGATAACGCCAAAGACTGTTGGCATGCACCACCTTCGGCTTACCTCGCTGACCACATTTTATCTGGAAAGTCACGTCTGAGAGACGATCCACTATGTCATATGGGCCTTCCCATGGAGAAGACAACTTAGGAGACTTCCCTTTGTTCTTCCTGGGATTATACAACCATACCTTGTCTCCTGGTTCAAAGCTGACTTCAGTAGATCTTTTATCATAAGTTAACTTCATTGAATCAGCAGACTTTTTCAAGTTTGAAGGCGTCTGCTGATGGTGAATATCTTCCATCCTTTCCGACAACACCTTCAAAAACTCTGCCGCATTCTCAGGCAACTCTTCATA